TTTCACGGGTTTGAGTCAAATTTGATCAGATGGCATGCGAACAATGTTCTTAATATTCCCAAAAAATTTCGAAACTCCTGAAAAACTGCAGAACAACTAAGGAATACCCTCTAAAATGGCTCCAACTTATAATTTACTATTATACTATATATGTATACATCGTTTATTGTTTACATACTATAATTTGTAATCTAACCGTAAAAGACCTAATCCCTCCATAATTTATTAATTTCCATTGAGTGAAAACTTGTTTGTATTGCTGTCATTACACATCTATACCTCGTATTACATAAGTGCTCAATCCTCTTAACTCATGGTTCCAAAACAAAAAAAAACAAGATTTGATAAGATAAAAATTTGTCGAATACTGAAACTCACAGATAAAAATGTTACTCTTTTAGTGACCGAACCAATAGTTGTTGCATTTGCCATAATAATTATTCTTTTTCATGGCTTTTAGTTTCGTTCCGGTTATAAATCATTAGCGGAAATTATTGTGCTTTAACGAAGCAAGCGCCAATTTTTCCTAATGGTCAATTATTTCGCTTGTTTATTGTATTTCAATTTTGGTTGGACGAAAATTCAATTAACCTTTGGCCTTTTTGTATTTGGTCTTATGAGCGTATACTTTATTCTATCACAGAGTAATTTTGAAATATCAAATTAATAGACATTGTATATTTATAAAATAGTTTGGTAATTTCGACTGCAGGTTATGGCAAAAAATTTTTTTTTTATTGTTAAGGCTAAAATAATGCTTTTTCACACATTTAGTTTTTTTTTTTTATCTAATGCTGGGGGTTTAATAGACTTTTGGATGTATTTAAACCCATTGTCGAAGCTCTTTTGCCACTCTGATTGAGGTATCTCCAGGTGTCGAAAAATGTTAACTTCTTAGTTTATTTTTTATGAACAACAATAAAAAGAAGTCATTCGGTGCCAGTCGATGTGTGAGAGTAATCCGCCTTCGGCCAGTATTTTTAAAATAACAGACAACCATTTGCTTGGAAGTGCGGCATACGGCTCATCTTGAAACACCCATACAGTCGACTGATGTTTACGTTCGGGCTCATACGCGTTAATCCACGATTCATCACTTACAACAATGTCATAAACTTGTTTCGAAACACCATTATCATATTTTGTTTATGGTACATTTCGACCTATCGGCACGAACGCTTTTTTGAGCGACTGACAAATTGTGAAAGATCCAACGTGAACAAATTTTTTACAGTCCAATTTTCATGCAATATTGAATGTATGCTAGTCCTAACAATGCTCATAATTGTCTCAATCTCACGATGGGTCACATGACGATCCTGCAATATCATTTTGCGCACATAGTTTTCGGAACAGCAATACTCGTAGATTTTGGACGACCTTTCAGAAATTCGTCTTAAAGACCTCGATTGAAATCGAAAGTTAGAAAAAATAATCACGTGAAAATAGACGAGACTTAATTACATTTTTTGACGAAAATATTCCCTGGTCAGCGTATAAAAAATGCAACGAATTTGTTTGAAAAGAGGTCATACAGAACAGGAAGCCTGAAAGGTTAAGGACGCTACTTCAAGAGGTCTGCGTATTAATTTCACAATTTAGATAGCTTACGCTATAAAGCATTGTGTTGAAAATTTTTTCATAAATATTAGAGTATGCGAAAATTGTGTGAATCGAGGATTCCACCCGATCACCCGATCTCACAATCGAGACATTAACTTGAGATAGTTAGTGAAAACTATGGTAACTTGCATAATTACTCCCCAACGACCGTTTTCCGGATCTTACCTCCAGCTCTTATTTATCGATATTTTCAGTTATGTTGACTTTGCTGTCATTGATCGTCTGCCTCTCAATAATATAAAATCCTTTCAATAATCTGACGGAATCCAATTGATTTTTCTACACAATCCCCAACCCTTTGCTATAGATGACCACATGCTTGTTTATTTTGTCGTCCGCAGTGTGTCACTTAGTGCCGTCCTGCTCGTATCAAATGCGGTTTACGTGCACATCCAAGCGTTTGTAGCCAAATAATTCAGTTTGCCATGACACCACCGACCCATCAAAATTTTATTTGCTCAATAATATAACCTTTGCGTGAGCCTCGCAATGATTCGTGTTTGTAGTTAAATTATAGTACCATTAAATACATTTTCCTCATACGCCAGACACTGCCATGTCAAGGTAAAAGGTGCTTATGCCTTTCAACTAAATTTGTAATTTGTCGACGTGGCAAGTACACGAGTCTGCACAAATAGAATAATTGTAAGGCATAGAACTTAGACGGGCATGTGGCAAATTCAGAGCGTACCGATCACCTACACATACATGTGAGCACACAGAAGTAGTTGAGGCAGGTCCTCGTCGCTAACAGTAAACAAGAAATACTTGCACACAAATAGACACACGAACATATAGACATGCGTTAATGTATTCTTAGCACGCTATTGAGATTTAAAAATACACTTAACAATACACAGACATGTAGACATTAGAAACTTTCATATAATATGAATATGAGTTGTTCTAAAGTGATGACATACATACATAAATATACATAAAAGTATAGTTCTAGTGAAACGAAACCTCAAATTATCACCACTAACATTTTGGGATAGTGTTACTTCACGCAAGCTTTCAACTTTTTACCTGTAATTTTTTTTGTACAGCGTAGTCTTAAAGCCGACTTTCATTAAATATCGTTTGACTCATTGATACTTTTAGATCGAGCTTTAAATATAAGAGTATTATTTACTTGATGTTTATTCGGTGTTCCGGAGATTGTCCTTATTGCAGTTGTCCAGTTAGACCGCATCACATTCTCGATATGAGGACTTTATTCCAATGAAATATTACTACGAAAATCAGTAGTCTCTTTCTGTAGTGGCCTAAATTTCTTTTAAGATAAATTAAGGCTTTTTAAAAACACAGTTTTGTAACGTACATATGTATGTATGTAACATTACATTCTCTTAAGGAGCCTCTTTTAACATTAGTATGAAGTTTGGGCAATTAACTTCCGAAATAATAGAAATTCCAGTCGCATGCTAGTCTGTCAAATATAAGTTTTTAAAGAACTTATGGTCAACATAGGCGGTTCGTACTATTCGTAACACCATCMCYCATCTTCAGACCCAGCATTCATTATTGGATAATCTTCGACCGAATACACCACGTCCAGCACGCAGTGAAGAAAATATAGCTCTAGAGGCAATTCGGCGTCGTTCACAGCAACTCAGACTGACGTATCGAACGACTTGGTGTATTTTACCTCGAGATCTTAAATTAAAAGTGTATAAAATAAAGCTTGTGCAAGAACTGAATCCGCTCGATCTTCCCACGCGACTTTGCTTTGCAGTATGAGCTTCTAGTTCTAAGAAGATCCATTCAGCAATGTTCAGCCCATTGTTGGTTCAATGAGTGTGTAACAAAGCGAAAAGCAATTTGAAGAGATTCAAGAGCGGCCATTGCATCCAGAAAAAGCAACGATTTGGTTGTGGGCCGGTGGAACCATCGGTCCATATATGTATGTATCTTCAAAAGTGATGCCGTTGAGAACCTAACCGACAATGGGGCCATTTTTGCGCCCTGATATAGTGCCCATTATATACCAGACATTGAAACTCGTTTTCCTAGCGACATTTGCTTTCAACAAAACGATGCCACTTCCCACAAATCACATCACATCAATGGAGTTATTAAAAGAACGCTTCGGCAAGCAGATAATTTCACATTTTGGGGCCGGTCGATGGGCCACTAAATCAAAATTAAGTCCTTGTATGAAACACTTTTTCATTTGAGAAATTGTCGCCATGAAATTTGGTAGGTTATGGTATAAGCCAAAGTTATAATATCCGAGCATATTGTTCGAATAGGTCGGTCAAAAATCACGATGATGCGCAACGTTTTCTTCGATTGCCGTGTTATAGTTCACTATAAATTCATTGCACACGGTAAATACTTGTCCGTGAACAGAAAATGCATAGAATTGTCATTTATTACCGTAATACTAAGCGAGAGCAATTGCTCCGCCATCGTATTTTTTAGATTTGGCTCCCTGTGACCTTTTTTAAAAAAAAAGGCACTAAACCCATTTCAGCCAAGACCTATGTATAAGGCAATAACAAATTCCTTAAATCCGGGTAATATTTGATCAGGTGGGAAATAGACTATACAATACCCGGTTTTGGCAAAACAAAGTGGCAGTCGCTAATATCGGAGACGTCCATAAACGCCACTCAAAAATCTCATAAAAATAGCAAAGCTGCCAATGTAGGTCTTCCTCAAACTTGTACGAAAATTATTTTTGAAAAGAACACGGCGGTCGCTAAAAATTTTACACCAACGAAGTGCATATAGTACAAAAGTCACGCTTCTAACTATATATGCTTTCAAGTTCGATATCCAAAGGAGTATTCCAAGTAACGAGTAAATTGAAATCAATAAAGTGAATTCTGTCTAATATTGTAAAGTTTAAACACATATTACATTATGTATATTATTGAAGAGCTATTTTTAAGACAGTAAACAAATATTTTTTTTAATAGTCAAGGTAAAAATCAATTATTTATAAATAACTTTGAACTCTGTTCATTCATTGAGAGACTCAAAGTACAGCAAAATAATTAAATTACGAAATTATAATTGTTTAGAACTTTATATAGCAAAGTACCTCAATAAAAAATTTAAGTTGTCATAAATAAACAGTTAATTTATATTTTCGCATTTTGCTTTTCATTTCTAAATAAATAAATTAACAATATATAAAAATTCCAACATTCCACTACACACTGCATCAATGAATATTTATTATAATTTTCCAAATTTTCCTAACTGCACACGTAAAAAGTCTACACTCAACCCTTAATGTACATACATATGTTTGTATATATTTCCAAATGATTGAAAATGAAAATCTCTTGCATTTTCAATTTTTCTTCTTATCCCATTTAAAAAATTGCATACAAACTAAACAAAACGACAATGATGTCAGGATTTGACAGCAAAATGGCAGCGGAAGGCTTGCGTCAATGTCTGCTGCTATGGAGCGTCGACTATTGGAATCTAGAAGGTAAACAAGCAAGCACTCAACCAATGAACCAACCAATCACCATATATCGCATATGAGTTATGGAAATAAAGCTTTTGGTTCTTTTGATTTTTCCAATTTAAATACTTAATACCGTTAGCTATGTACGTTTATGTACTTGTGTGTGAGTTATGTTTTGTGCCTTTGCACTTTTATGCCTTTTGTAATGTATTCAGTTTTTTCACATTATAATAGTTTTTTGTTTGCATAAATCAATTCTAGACCTATTGTGTTAGTGGATAGTTATTCTAGTTTACTTGCCTGACTACGTTGCAAAAACAAAAACAAACTAGAAGTAATTATTTTCTCATGCAAAGCTAAAGTAGTGCGCAGCAGACCCCTTCATTTGATTGCTGTGGACGCATGTGTTTTGTTGTTATTATGCACTTTCTTACATATAAATATTTTTAAAAATAGTATTTTAATTTTTTTTTATTTTCCAAATAGTTCTGCAATTACATATACATATGTATGTATATAAATCTATTAAAAGGCGTGTGTTGAGTTGTGCGTTTGAAAGATGCGTATTAATGGTATTTGTTATCTCAATTTATTTATAAAAATTGCAAAAAAATAACTGTATTGTAATGTTATAATTTGATTTGTATTTTTAATTTAATTTTTTTGTTATTATTTTTCATTGTTTCTTTTTTTCATTTTTCTTCAGTTATGGCTGACAGTGCTTTCAAGTCGCGTGACATTGGCTTGCGTGCCCAGAAGAAGATCCTCTCGCGCATGGCCACCAAGAATATAGCGAAAACCTTTATTGACGGCACAACAGCATCGCTTCTTGATAATTTATATCGCCTTTGTAAAATGCATGTAAGTGCGCGCTCCAATCAACTTTTTCACCAACTTCATACAAACATACACATGTATAGAATAAATAAAATTTAATAATCACAATTTGTGAGAACTTCCCATATTAAGTACTATCTTTATAATATATGTATACTCGTACTTCCTTAAAAGCTGCCTCTTTTCTTACGCCAACTTTCAATTGTATAATTGTATTTACATTTACATATTATATCTACTTCAATGCAGACGGGCAACAAAGTTAAAGCGGAGAAGCTGATAAAAAATATAATAAAAATTGTTATCAAAATTGGTGTCCTACATCGAAATAATCAATTCAGTGCCGACGAACTGAAGGATGCGGAAGTCTTTAAGCGGAAGTTTCAAGTAAGTGCAATCAAAATGTATTTGCATATAAATATACCTAAATGCAAGTAAATATTTAATAACAAGAAATAAGTAATTGTGACAAATTGTTTACTTTATACCCAGCAAATATTAAAATAGACAAGAAAAAAWTAATTAAATGTGCCACAGTAATATACACGGGGACACTATTCAACTTTGATTAAAAGGCTWCATGAGTTTCCTTGGGTAAAAACAGACTTTTTTCAACAATTTGTTTCTCATATAAAAATTTAAATATTTTTTAGAATTTTTTGTTGCTACAAACATACCCTTAACAATTAAAATTCTGATAGTTTTGGAAAAAAATATTTTAAACTCGGCCATTTCCGGAGACCCCTCGGAAAAAAGATGTGCCCGCGTTAGCAGGATAACTTCTTATTTCTAGGATCATCTAAAGTGAAAAAGTACGTGCCTTAGTTAAAACCTTAACTTAGAACAAAGGAAAAAAAACTGAAAAATAAAAATTTCGCTACTTTTTTTTCAAATAATTGTAATCAAAAAAATAATAAAAAAAAATTGTATCTCAAAGACATATGTAAAATTTCATGAATATTGGTTGAGCAGTTCTTGAGAAATCTTGCCAACCAACTTCAAAAACACAGTTTCGAGAAAAACGCGTTTAAAGGCGGCGCACTTAGCCTAGCTAGCCTCGAGCGCACAAGTACTTAAGGCTGTCTGGAACTATTACTCGGATCAACTCGAAAATTTAGGACGATACTCTAGAAGTGTTGTAGAATTCAATAGAAAAATTCGATTTTTTGAAACTCGTAAACCCATGTATCCCCTCAAACAAGAGCTAAAGTGTTATTTGTTTTAGAGCTTTTCAACCTCAAAGAAATTCACCGCTTTGATTAATTAGATTACTATGTTAACTGACTAATACTTAAAAAAAACAATTAAATTCGAACATACAATTTTTTAAAACGTTTAATTTACTCAATCCAATTATTTCAGAATACACAACTCGCCGTGATTTCCTTCTATGAAGTAGATTACAGTTTCGACCTGCCGTATCTGCAAAAGTCTATTGCTGAATCACATGCCGCCCTCAAGTCAATTGTTCAACGACATCTCACCGAAAAGTCAYTAAATCGCATCGATGAAGTCTTTAACTTTTTCGGTGATACCGCACTCTTAGAGACCGCCTTCAAACCCAATTCGCCATATCGCGAATTAATGGGYAAAATTGTCAGCGACATAAATACTGCCATGGAAGCGGGAGACATGTAAGTAAGCGTGTGCGCCGTATGTGTGCAACACAAATTTGTATTATGGACACTTTGACACGCTTACACACTCAACTCCTCGTCTTGTCTCGTCTCGTCCAAAGGACTGCAAAGTACTTTAATCGTGGCGGCAAAAAGCGAAAATGTGAACGCAAATGAAAGGCTTAAATGGAATTTAGGTCATTAGTATGGAACAAGAAACCAAAAATAATATATATAATAACAATAAAATAAATTACAGCACTTTTATCGAATACGCTTGTCTTAAATATTATAAAAAAAAAGAAAAAAAAACATAAAAAAATAATGATGAACGTTATGCTAAATATATTCACGCTAACAAATAATAACAGATGTGACAGGCGTTATTGATGTATTTATGTATTTATTTATGAATTATAATGGCGTTGATTATGTCATTGCCGATAATTGTGTTATGATAATACGAATATTTTTGATGCTATTGATTGAGCATTCTAATGTTAACAGCGTTATTGATAAATTCTATCGATAACAATGATAATAATATTTATTATAAGCTAGTAAATATGAAACAAGCAAACAAAAAAATAATTTTTGAACGATTATTTTTCTATGGTGATATTAAATAAATAAATAAMTAAAAAACAACTAGCACATAAAATGAAATGAAGACAACAACAAGGAATATGCACAAGTGCTAAACTATTGGTACATATTGAAAAGAAAGCATTTAAAGACAACAAAGCGCAAATGTACAACGTAAATAATATTATCGTTTATTTTAGTGCGAATATTTTGATTAAAAAATGTAATAATTTTGAAGGACTTGAAATATATATATTTTTTTTTATTTACTAAAATGCGATACAGAATTAAAATACTTTCGGTTAAGTTGCAAGAAGTTCCTTAAATATCCATTCATTAACATAAATAATTTGTTTCAATCAGCGAAGATCGAAATTTGTCAATTATTAATATTATCATTAATATTGCTTTCGCGTTACCTACGTATTATAACCTAACCACTCAAATTAAACGAAAATATTATTCATGYGTACAATGGAATTGCAATAACATTTTGGCGTCCTGTTCGTTTATTGATTGTTGTATCAAATGTATTGTTATTATGTAGACTAAGCAGAAAGTTTAAGAAGCTAAAATAAAAAATAAAAAAACAAATCGTAATGCATTCACAGGTTGCAAAGTTGCACAAATTTAACAACAACAAAAAAGACAAAGTTCTGAAAAACTAAGTAAAAAATAATAAAAGCAAAACTTTTATCTAAATTAACTACTATACATATGTATTAGGTACRCATGTGTGTACATAGTTTCAATACTATTTTTATACTACGACATATGTACAAGTCAATGCAACTGAAAATTAAAATGAAAATGAAAACTCTGCAAAAGCTCAATTATTGTCTGAGCATTAGGGACTTTTTCAACGTAGTAAAGACTCATTACACGGCAAAAAATTTAAACTAAAAATTTACCATAAAAATATGTAATTATATACGTTTGTAAACTACTATGCTAGTGTATATGTAACTATGTATTTTAAAGGACTACGCAAATTATAATATCAATTTTKTATTTTCTATACTAAATGACTAAATATGAGTTAACTAAACTAAACTTAACTAATATTAAGAGTTTTCGAGCTAACAAATTGAGCCTTTTGCGCGTTATAAGCATTATATTGAAAGAACGTTACCAATAATGCCACTGACTATTGAAACTTCGTGGCTTTCGTGAAGTATTTACTACGCTAAATTAAAAACTCTTAAAATAAAAAATAAAATATTTGGCTGCATAAGTATRTGTATTTAAAATATTCGAAGCACCTTTTAAAACATTGCAAGGCTAATGTACTTAATTAATGAAGTTGAAATAGATACAACTGCGCCGATCAAWCATTGATCTCGTATGAAAGCCAAGGATTTTAGGCTCAGCTTATTACAAAGACATTTTCTCAGCCATACAATTTATTAAAGCGCTGGCAAATACTACTATAATAATAATTTAGCTGAAATCTGAAATGCTTAGCAGAGTAATGCATTTAAAAAAAAAAATTCAATGGCATTCACAAAAAAGTAACATGACGTTAGAGCAATAAATCGAGACATTTTAGAGTTTGTTTTTACATTGATATTCGTAAACAAAAATTAAAAAATAACGTTGTACGGAAGTGAAATTATGTGTATATAATTTTTTTTTTTTAACTCGGTAATTGAACTTCAAATGTAATTCTTGATTTTTCTCGTTCTCAAATTGAATTTTKCATTATTTACGTGGAAAAACTTGTATTTGGAATCTATAGTACTTTATTGGTCTTTAATATTTCCTTTTTTCCAATATACGCTATGTGTAGTTCTATTATTAAAAGCAATGCATCACATTCCATGAGCTTATGCAAGCTAAGGTATAGAATTTTCGTTAATTGCACATATAAACACTTAATGTTTCCATATCYGAAAGCAACGTTAAAACGTTCTTTTAAGAATCGTAACAAACATATCGTTTACCGTTCTTTATTTGGATATACAAAAATAACYACTTACATACATAATTATTGTACTCAAATAATGTACTCGACTTAAATAAATGTACTCGTATTTACCTACTGATATACCAACGATATATTATAATRTACATGCGTACATATACACACATGCACTTACACACACTAATACACTATAAAATTATACAATTCATAAATTTACTCAAAAGTTACCTTGAAATGTATGTTAATTGCGTTATAATTTCATTTACAAACATATTCCAAAATATACAAAATCTTGTCATATGTATGCTTATTCTTTATATACAAAACGTATGGTGCATATTTTTTTATATTTTTACTATTAAATTAAAGTTGTATTATAAATTTATGTTTTATATTTTTGCGTGTATTAATATTTCCTTATAATCAAGATGTACAAGCATASACATTCAATTATTGCTAATGAAAAAAAAACAAAAGTTATTTTAAATAGTTTACAACAATAACAGGTATATATTATTTAATATTGTAGTTGTCTTGAAGAATGACTGAAGGCGTTATAAAAATGCAGTAGCAATAATAGTCATATCAAATTGCTGTTTAGTTTATGTGCGAGTATTGTCATGAAATATATTAATTGAAAGTATTTTATATTTATGCTAAAAATTTGGTGTTTTAGTGATAGAGAAATACCATTAAWTTGTTTTATATGTTATTAAGCCGTTTTAAGTTTAATTTATTACAGAATAAATATATGTTGAACACCATAAAAACGGGAACTTTATTAACTACAGCAACAATGTAAGTATCAACTGTTTCAGGAAATTTTACATTTTGTTAAAATAGATGAATCARTAATCATATAGGTAACTGACCTAARCATAACTGGTTACTTGTTGAACGAACTTGCATAAATGATCAAATATACACAACAGAAAGGTATATCAATTTTGTTGTTGTTTTTATAGAAAATATTTTAGAAGAAAGCTGTCAAGTTTACAATCCCTAGCCGGATAAATTTCCGGGTCTGTTCCGGGCACTACTGCCGTGGTAACAGAATCTCATAACAGAACTAACTTCTACTTTGTAGTTGCATTGACGCACCCAGTACTTACATATCCTTGCCGGTGTAAAAAAGATTAACAATTCTATTTTTTCAACACTTTAAACTATATTTTATGTTCTATTATTTATTACAATTATTCAGCACGTTTTTCTACCAACACTTCATCTGTGGATTTGTTTTTATCAGCAAGACGCTGTTGTTTAAATAATTCAATAAGTTTATCAGTTGCCGATTGTTCCACATCAAGTGGTCGTGAAGCGTCTGCGTTGGGATAGGTTGTCACGTTTGCCTCTGGTGCTCGTAATGTAAACGGTGTCCATGGACCTTGTATTGAAGGCACATCAGTATGCCACATTTTACGTAAACGCAATGAACTTGAACTACCATTCTGCGTTTTCAGCAGTTGAAGCCATTTGGATATGTCATCTTTATTGGCATTGCGGCAGTTTAGCCATTCGCGATCACCATTTACTAAAATTGAAAATCAAATGTAATATTTGTACATATATTGTGTTAATATTTACTTACAATATTCACCAACTAGTACCGGTCCACGGTGACGTCGAGGTTTAACATAAACCACTACACCGGGATTTTCTTTGGCAAAGTCAATCAAATGGTTCTCAATGAATTCTCTATTTATATAAGCACAAAATGTTTTTTAAATGTAAATATTGCAAGCATTTAAACAAAATTTTATAGATGAGTACCTCATGCCACGGCTAGAGCCATTGTTTTTACAGAACTTTAACGTAACACGCTGCAATTGGCAAACATAGCGTCCAATGCCATTTTGGAGCGGCGCGCGTGGAAATCCAGATTTAAGGAATAAATGACTGTTCGACATTTTTATTTAAAACTTAGTAACTGGTGAAGAAAGAAATTATTAGTTATGGAGTGACAGAATATGAAACTAACCCTATTTGTTATGGAATAAACAGCTGTTGCAAGGGTGGTTTTGTGTTGTTTGAAAAATATAGACAATTGGAAATAAAAACTATTGTAATCGAATTAGGTTTAATGCAAATATAATTATTATATTTTTAGTTAAAAATTAATGAAAAGACTAACGCCTATTATATAATTTAATATTTATATTTTTGCAGTTAATTAAATTTTTTATGTGTAACACAATAGCAACACTGTTGTGACATAATCTATTTTCAATTGACATTTCGTAAAAYTAATTTAGTAGGTTATTTTGCTTTTTGATATTGTTCATAATTTTAACATTAAAATAAAATGAACTTTGGTAAAATTCTTCGCACATCCAGCGTGCATTGGCAGTTGGCACGGGATTACGCCTTCAAGTCGGATTTGAAAATCAAATGGGTACGTCCGGAAAAAATTCCCTGCACAAAGCCGGAGAAAAGTGGAGATTTAGGAAAATTGCCATCAATTAATGAAAAAGAATTACGATTGGATTTTAAAAACTCCAAAGAGCTGAAAGAGTAAGTTAATACACTGTAGCCGTTGGATGCTATAATATTTTTTTATTTTATAGCGCCGACCCAGTCGTACAATCACTATTTCAACTTAACAATAACCCCTTAGCAGAAACTTCACGTTATTTACGTGACCAGATGATCAAAGAAGTTCAACGACATCCTCTTGATTATGGTTCTATGGAAGCTAAATGTAAGATCGTTTAGAAATTGTAAATGCAATAGTTTCTGTTAAATAAATATAATATTTTTTCAATATAGTGGCGCGAATGACGGTGAGAATACGTTGTATGCAAGAACAACTTGATAAATTTCCTAGAAATATCAAAATTAAGGTTTCTTTAAAAGAACTAATTGACAAGCGAAAGAAATTTTTGAAATATTTACGTCGTTGGGACTATCGAAGATTTGAATTTATGTTGGAGAAGCTTGATTTAGTTTACAAACCGCCACCAACAAAATTCCATTGGGTAACAAGAAAGGAATCCCTACAAAAGCTTACTGATGCGCATTGTGAACAGATCAAGGAGGATCGCCTTGCTGAATATCGTAAAGTGTTAAATGAGCAGAAGATTCCCTTTTTAGAAGACGCGATTAAGAAAATGGAATTTGTACGCAAAGAACAAATTGATTTAGAAATACCACTCACCGTAACASAAGAGCAAATAGCAGACTATAAAAGAGAACTAGATTATCTGAAATCTGAACGAGACACAAAAACGGAAGTTAGAGAATAATTTAAAAGAAAAYACATTGTTAAAACATAATAAAATAAATATTCGTTAACTAAATTTTATGGTCTTGATTAATACGAGAAAATATATAGCGGTCATAGTTGCGCCAGTTTAAAATGAGCGGTACTATCTGTAGAAGCAAAACCACTAAACATTTACAAATATAAACGGAATTTATTTGCGCATACATTTTGCTGCATCAGCCTTTAATTCAAATACACACACTAATTTTCATTTAATTTTAAAAATATAAACTTATAACTAAAGCATGTACCTAATGGTAAATCTGAGTTAAATTGAAAAGTAAGAAAATACGGTTACAACGAACGTTAGCACAAATCTGTCAACCGTGTTAATATTCACGGCATTCAACGAAAGTCGACAAAATACTAAAAAAAAAAAAGAGAAAAAAAAACTACCAAACACGGTCTATCAAACTGTTATCCTGTGGTTTTTGATTCATTGTCGCCATTTGTTGATGATAATTTCTCATTTGATTATTGCGACGTGGTTGTGCCAAATATTCGAACATACTTTGTGAATGCTGTGAAAGCATTTTGCTTAAATCACTAGGCATTGGATCAGTCCAAAAGAAGTCATGATTAAGCGCCGTATCCGCATCGATACGTTTCTTTGGATCAAGTGTCAACAGCTTATCAAGTAGATCACAGCCATTTGGGTCTTTTACATAAGGTCGCAGGCGTTCTTTCACACGACGCTTCTGATTCTTAGGCAATTCCACCGATTTATATAATTCCAATTCTTCGACTCCAGACCATACATCCGGTGTAAATGATCCACATAATTGAGAAATAAAGGTGAGTTGTTGTTGTTCTGTATTTCCTTGCATAATGGGCGAACGTGTCCACATTTCAGCCATAATGCATCCAGCACCCCACATATCGACAGGTGGACCATAATTACGATCACCGAGCAGCAATTCAGGCGGACGATACCACAACGTAACAACCCGATTTGTATAACGATTTTTTGTATCGTTTTTCGGTATACTAAATGCACGCGCCAAGCCAAAATCCGCCAATTTCAACACACCATGTTTGGTAATAAGTACATTTGCTGCTTTCATATCCCGATGCAGAATCTGAAAATATTACACAAAATAATATAATTTTTTACGAATTTGTAATTATGTTTACCTTATTGCTGTGTATATAATATAAACCGTTTAGTAGTTGCTGCATAACCTTCTTGATTTCGCCAAGACTGAATTTAACATTGATGTTCGACAGCAGCCCGGCCAAATCGTGTTCACAAAAGTCGAAAACCAAGTAAAATGTTGAACGGTAGCCGTTACTGGCAGTCGCTTTTGTACGGCAAATTTCGATTAGATTCACCACGTTTTCATGCTTTAATAATTGCAATATACGTATTTCACGTAGGGCAGTAATAGGAAACTATAATTTATTAAATTTATATAATTGTTGTTAAAATTTATTTCACAAGAAAAAAGTGTTATCGAATAATTCTTACGCCTTCTTTTTCGTTATCCATTAGCACTTTCTTCATAGCAACAAACTTTTTGTTACCCTTCTTTTCGCGAGCTTTGAACACTTCTCTGAAAGTGAAAGCGAATTACAATGAAAAACCACGGACGAACAAAGAAATCAGTGCATCAATTTTGTTGACTACACTTACCCGAAAGTGCCTTGACCGATTTTTGCAACCTTCTCATATTTAGAAGATTCATCACAATATGGAAAATCATATTCCTCGATGTATTTCTGTTTTTCGGCCAATGAAAGTGTTCGTGATGAACTAGAGGATGTCACGCCAGGCGTCGACTGCATTGAATGCGGGTGCTGAATGTGTTCATCTCGTCCACGAGAGGACATGCTGGGTGGCCAATCTTTCCTAGTTTTAGGAAATTATTTAATATTGTTACGTTGCCGTTTTCGATAGTGTTTGTAAAGTGCACAATTTCAGCCTTTTAAACTATTTTTTTACTAATAAATAATCGTTTAACAACGAGCTGATATTCTTAGAATGTATTTACTTTTTGACAGTTTATGTATTTTGCAGTGACAGTTGTCATTTATGAGCATATGATTCGAGACTCGAAACGATGAGGTTATTCTCGCACTATGTATACTAATATACTGCCGGAAAACTATGCGCTCTTGTTTTTTTTCATATGTAGCATGACAAAACTATGTTATTATGTAAATTAGGCTATGTTCACACGCTAACTTATTTTGTCGCCAAAACCGAATTTTTGTAGATAAAGGSATGACGCAGGTATCGTGTCGCCCGTGTTCGTTCGTTACTAATCATTGCGACATTCCTTTTTATTGCGTTCTTTTCATGGTAATATAGTTGACTTCAAATACATTTTTATATTATGTTCGGAAATTTGGTTTTCTTTGTTTTTTTGTAAGTAATACGCAAATGTATGTAAATATAATATAAATGCGTTAGAAGTGAATTGTSTCTCGCGTGAACGCATGAGCAATACCAAAAGATAATTTGTTAATAAAGWGCGTCAGCGCCTTTGTCTGAACGCAGTGTTATACGGCAACATGAGTACGYAAACCCACCAGTTTTTTACACTCTAGGAGTTGAGAAAACATTTTAAAGTCAAGTACATGTCTTTTAAATTATAGTATTTATTGCATATCATGGATAAGACCTTGGATATAATTTTATCATTTTCAATTCATGTATTTCATACGAAGCTTTTCTGCATATACTAATAAAGTAGTAGTAAACTAATACATTACGTTAGAGCTGCAAAGCTATGTGAAATTTTCTTAATTTTACGAAAACAAGTCATAAATAATTGAAATAGATTGACTGCAACGAGCTACGTTCATTRAAGTACTAATATAAGTTATAATGCATATTTTATTGTTCTTAATACCAAAATAGTTAGGAATAAAATCACTTCAGGAATAATTGAACAAACAATAACTATGTGCAAAATCTAAATTGTGAAGATAAAAATATTATTTAGTAATGTCTATATATTTTTCAATACACAACTGCTATTTATGTATATACTCCAAGCACAGGCGTTATCCTCTAGGGACATATTTTTAATCAGGATAGATTGTGATAGAAGACGCAATAGTAATTAAGGAATGCGGTTGCATTCAATTTTTTACTTGTAAGATGTCAATAGTGTATAGTTTTATGCGTTCAGTGACGATTTCTCGAGCTGCTACGAGATCGTGAACGATTGCGACCGCGTCTTTGTTTGGAAAGCGTTGGTGACTGGGAGGTACGTCTTTTACGCTTTGCCAATGTTACTGATGAACGAGAAGATGATCGTGAACGTGATCTTGACTTAGATATATTACGTCCGGCTTTTCCAGACATATGTGAAGAGGTTCGTGATGTTTGTGAGTGCGTTTTGGAAGGTTCACGTGAACGTTTACGTGTGGATGGTGCAGATTTAAGGCTGTTTGACTGTGTAGTCTTCCGATCCTTGGACGTACTGCGTTGACGTGATTTTCTTGATCGGCTGCCCGAACGAGAACCACCAGAACTGGAACCTGAGCGGGTACTTGAAGTATAAGATGATGATGAAGAACTTGAGCTGGAAGATGTAGATGATCTTGATTGGGATCTTGAATCGCTGCGAGACCGTGACAGTGAACGTGAATGCGAACGAGAACGTGAGCGACTACGTGAACGAGATTTCCGTTGCTCTAAGGACTTTGTGCTTGATTTGGGTTTTTCTTCTCCTCCTCCAGGAGTTATTAAGGTAACTGGCGTTATTTCATCGTCACCCCACAAATCATATTTCGAAAGATCACCGCCATCATCTTCTTCGTCGTCCTCTTCTTCGAGAGCATCTTCGTCAGTATCGTCGTATTCTTTTTCGTCGTCATTGGATTTTTCATTATCTTTCATCTTTCGCTTTTTTAAGCGTCCATATTCGTCATAGTCACTGTCGGAGTCAGAGCGGTCCTTATATTCGACTACACCACGATCATTATAGCCGCCGCCATAACCTAAATAAACGAGATATATTAACAAATACACATCTAAATATTGATTAAAATGGATATTTAAAAAATATTTAAATTAAAGCAATTATTTTGAATGATACGAAAACATATTCAATAAGGTTGAGTTACTCACCCGTACGCTCTTCGACATCGCTAAATTTGGGTGCATTACACATATTGCAAGTTTGTCGACGAGCCCAGTTTACATTGGCACATTTGCTGCATTGCCAATCCTCAGCTGAGAAAAGACCTCGCGATTTCTCGGCGGCAGCCTTGCCTATTTCAGTTCCCAATTTCTTCTTGGCTGCGGAACCTCCACCGCCAGATGAGCGTTCCGGGCTGCGTTGCCCAAAACTCGCATGACGGCTTCTGTAAGGCAAATTTCAGAAATCGTCGGAAGAAATTTTAGTTATATGATAAAACAAATAATTGGCTTTTTGCTGCGAACAACACTCGACCACCCTCCTCAGACAGTCGACAGTTAGCTGCAACTCACTCGCTATCACCGAAAGCGGCACCAACGCCAGCTCCTGTTCCGGTACCAGCACTCGACATTTTTTTTTTTCTAAACTTGCTTTTTGCTTTATTTCCACTTTTTCCGGCCAATTATTTGCCGTCACCTTACTGTTACAGCGTAATTTGCATTAAACTAAACTATTTATTACAATCTTTCAAAATATATGATTATTTTACAAATAATTTTTTTGTTACTAGCAAACAAAATTAATTTTGGAAAATAATAGCAGAATTTTCCTAATCGATTTTTAAGTTCTACAATTTTCGCGTGCTTCTCTTTTCTTTAGATCTCTTCTTCTTATTTAATTCAGAGCAGAGAACGTTTAATATTTTGAACGCATTTCCAGCCACCGARGGGAATTGGGATTCAAACAGGGTGCTGTTTAATTTAAAATATTCTTAAAGTAACTTCATTTTAAGTATTTAAAAAATATATTATTTATTAATTGATATTCTTATTTTCGAGGAGACACAAGTATATTAATTTACTCTTGGATAGAAATCAATAACAGTTCATAAACCAAGAAATACACAGTACACACATACGCAAGTAATGAATAGTCAGCAAAGAAATCCACTAATATGTTTTTACAGTGAAATCTTCCCTTATGGGATCGAGGACCCTTTCGAAAAGCGGAGCACTTTGACAATCGGCACACCAAAACTTTCTTTACAAATCTACCTTCTCTGTAGTCAGCTTAAGGGTGGGAAATAGTTCAGCTGTTTCAAAACTGAAGAATATCTCTATCAGATAATAGATGTCACTGATATTCATTATCTGTGTGTTTATTATTTCTGCAGTCGGGAATGTTTTTGTTTTCTTCGTAATTTCATTTATTAATCAACTCGTTGGTTCCTTTGTCATACTCAAAGCATAAATTTTTTTAGAAATTTTATATTATAGCATGGATCCTAAAGATAAGGAAAGTGCTAAGGAGGATTTGGTTGCCACAAAGCCGACTTTATTAAATGTTATGTGTTCAATTTGTTTCGATTTTTATGAAAATAGTGATCAAATCTATTCCACAACCTGTGGTCACATATTTCACAAGAAATGTTTGTACATCGCACTTAAAAATTCAAAGACCTGCCCAGAATGTCGTCGCCCATCGGGAAGCAACCGAGTACATCCTATATTCCTCAATTTTGGTGAGCGCACCGAAATGGACTTGAAATGGAATAATTCGAATGCTTCTGATGCCTATGCAAATATACCTATTTGGACACCAATATATGGTTTAGAATGGAATGGCTCACAACGTGTTCCACAACCTCTACCAGAACCAGACGAAGCAATTCAAGCAGGTACAGATTCCGAAGGTAATCCCACATATGTGGCTCGTGTTTATTTCGAAGACGAYCTTCTGCCGGCCGGTTATGTGCCATCTAAAGGAGTTGCATATGCGTCCCACGGTTGTCATGGCTATACGTTGAGTGAAAATATCGAATTATTGAATAATTTCAAACACCAATGGGTAGCCGATTCAAATGGTCACGTACCAGAAGGTGCTGTAGTTGGCGGATATAGTGAAACCGAGGAGGATTTGTATATAGCACGAGCAAAATATAATGATAAAATATTGTTGGGAAAGGTACATCCTTCGCACAGGGTAATGTATATGCCATATAATGGTATTGAAGTGCATACAACTGAATATGAAGTATTGGTGCAAGAAAAGGTCACTGTTCAAAGTGATGGAGGTACGAATAATGAAGCTTAAACACAAATAAGCAAATATTTGATTACGCACTTGACACTGCAACATATACGAATATTCGTTGGATTACTATATTATTATTCATTACTGTATTAATAATCAGATATAATRCAGCAAATACGAAAAACTCCTATATTTTCATAAACAGTTTTTTTGTTTTATAAATATGAAAGTCATAAGTGATATTAGAAAGAAATGTAATAAATCCWTAAATTGTACTTACTGTTATGTAAATATATAAAAATTTAATTAATAATATACTAAACTAAAAACAAGTTTTTATTATTTTATTTTTTGGTATATAATTAATAATATGTAGGGGGCAAATGTGTAAATTTTATGKGCTTACATGTTTCTTATACATATGTATGTATATTTGCTTTTGCTTTTGGATTTATATTTAAGACATTAATACGTAATTTTTATATTTAAAAGATTCTCCCATCTAAAAATGTCAAAGATCGTACATTGAATATGAAGTCTCGTCGAAAGCTCGATTTGCATGCTGCTTTATGATGAAATTCATATTTTTTATATGGTGACGCACCACTASTAAATATATGTGGGAAATGTTGTATACAAATATGTATCTAAATATTTGTATATAGAAATAGTGACGTTATGAAGTTATTTCGTCAATATTGAAAAAATAATATAAATAAAATAATATTCTTAAAAAGGTGTTTATATCCTAAACATGGTATATAAAGTTTTGCACGAAGTTAACATCCGCAAGGATTGGAAACTCTATAAAATATATATATAGATGATCATGCTGACGAACTGAGTCCCAATCGAACATTTGTTAGATTGCCTCTGCGTACGCGAACTAGTTCCTTACTGAAATTTTTTACACGTCCTTTTCTTTCAACGAAGGCGCCTATTTGTCGGAACTGCCAATATTGGACCACCTTAGCATATAGCTGCTATACAACTGCAATACAAACTGAACAAAATCAAGATATAAAATTTTTATACTCATTTGAGGTATAAAAATATCACTGAAGAAGTAAAAGTTGAAGTTGTAAAAAATTTAAAACAACATTATTTTCCACTTAACAAATCTTTGATTTTATTTTATTTTTTTTTTTTTTGTTTAACTAGCTAATAATTAATAAATGTATGTTATGTATGTATTAAAACTATTTGCTTATGTACTAGGTGTTCAATATCTTTCATTTGTTCTCTTAGAAAAATCATACAGTATGAAATTTTAAATTCATGCCACTTTACACGCGCTCTTCAACACCCAATATTGAATTGTGTTACATAATTTGATTTCGCTTTGTGTTTAGTTTTCATTCATTCACTGTAACTAATTAATTCATGCTTACATTTACAATATTTTTTTTTTTTTAGAAATGTGCATTTCTTCATTTAAAATATCCGAATTCGCTTGTTAGATAATGGTTACATAATTGTTGTTAAAAAAATATTGTGACAACTGACAACTGTATATTTTATTTAAGTTAAGACCGACGATTTGTTTGTATATTTTTTGCGTAAAAAATATAGTATATATTTACAAAGTATAATTAAAAAAAAAAAAAAGATTTGTTTGTATGTTTGTGATGTACTCAATGTGACTGTTAATTATAATTAATGTTAAATGTAATTTAATGTCAATGGCAACACATAATGAATGGAGGTACTAAGAGGCTTATTATGTATTTATTAATTTTTAAATGTTCGTTTAACACTTTGACTGACATAACAACGGGCAACTTTTGTTATGTGAAACTAACACAAGTAAATGGCGCACTATATAATCTGCTAAGGGACATACTAATGATTTTAAATGCTTGCGTGTGTATTTAAATAATTTTATGGTAATATTTGATTAGTCAATTAGTTTTTTAAGTTTAAACATTCAAATAACTAGTTACATTAGAAAAGTTTTTATTTTGGTTTTATGTTGCAAATTGGAATAAGTAAAAAACGATATCTCTTTAGTTTGGATAGGAAATTCAAATCAAAGATTAAACGTATGAAATTAAACTCAAATCCATAGTAATATTATTTCTGTAATGAAAGTAATTTGTACAAATTGTATGACTGATCATTACAATTACAACTTCTTAAAATAATTTTATAGTCCCTTTTTATACTAGCGTTATGTATATTTATAATTGAATTAATATATTTTAATAAAATAATGCAATGTCTATGTCAAAATATGTTACAGACGTAAACGATGGGCTTAGCGTTAACTTCCAACCAGATAATTTGTGCTAAATTGTATGCTCTTATTACAATTTTTGCTCCAAACCGTGCGATTAAACTACTGCTATATACAATCTTATAAAAGTTGATACAAGGTTACTGTCACATGGCGTTGATAATGGTTATACCTGCTGCATTTACCAAATTACTATATGCAAGCCTGTTTTTTACAACAATTTTAATTGCTCACCAAGTGGTAGTCAAAACTCATTGTTAAACTGTCAAAGAAGCAATTTAAAAAAAATTTTCTTTGTTGCTCTCACAACTGATTTGTTATTCTATTTTTTATCAACAGTAAAATAAACCACAATCATTTAAAAAACAATTTTTAAATTGATATAATTACATTAGTAAATTAAACTAACGTTTAATCGCACAGCCTTCATAAAATGCTCAATAACTGCTAATCAAATTTAAGCCGTATGTATAACACTTTTCATTTAATTGGTGGTTATAGTCTTTAAATAACAACTGACTACTAACATACAACAATATTTGTTAAGTAAAAGAAAAAAGTATTAAATGAATAAAAAAAAAACAGGCGTACAATTTGTACCTGGATGAACTTAGGTAGTAAATGTGTGTATAAGTAAACCGTGAATAATAAAAATAATAAAGGAAAAAAATAATAAAACATATGTAAATAGTACGTAAACCACACATGCAGTGTAATCGCCATTTTAATGTCGCTTTATGTTTTGCTTTTCATGCAACAAATGCTACCGCGGCGTATTCTCGGCCACCTTCAACGTATTGGCCTCATCTCACTTCTTGGAAGACAAGTAGTTCATATACTTGGCAGTTTGACGTGCATTGCGCACCAGTTCGCTGTTGTCATTTTTCGTATCCCATGTACTGTCTTCGGTTTGGCCATGTACGCTATTGGTATCCTCCCAACGTTCTTGACGTTGCTGTTGGTTTTGCCGATTAAAGTTACGATTGCGCGGACGACGATCAAATGTGCTCGACGCTTCACTTGCCAAGCTGCTTTGGCTACTATAACGTGGATTGAAATTACGTGAGCGCTGTTGTTGCTGATGTTGTTTATGCGTAGAAGGRCTTTGGCTACGACGATACGTTGACGCATTGCTAGCACACTCATCRCCGTCCTCGAAATGACGAGATTTGCCTGGACGTGGGAGGGTACGGGCGCGCGATGAACTGCGACTATTCGATTCGGGTCCATTRGAACGATATGAAGAGTTTTCATCATGATATGAGTTATGCATGATATTGTTACGTGATTGACGCCATGAATTACTGTGTATGTTAGTATCTTTATGTTGTTGCTTTTGGAAGCGCGGTGGTTTATCATATGTTTGACGATTATTAAAATTACGATTGTGGCCGCGTCGGTAATTATTGCCACGCTCATAGTTGCTAATGTAGGAACGTTCACTGCGATCGTCTGCATGCTGAGACTGTCTGTCCCAATTTGAATTGGCAATTGAGTTGAAATTACTGCCGCTACGTTCCATTTTCTCCTGCGAATGTCGCAAACGATCATTTATGCTGTATAAACGAATGCTGCCGCCGTCGCTGCGCACACTCTGATCATCATCGAAACTGGTGCTAAAACGGCGTTGTTGATTATTTTGTGGACCATCGTTATTATGAAATTCGTTTTCGCGATTAAAACGTGGCGCACGCCAGCGAGGTAGCGGTTTTGTTTGATCCTGATCTTCATCGTGTTGTGACGCTGACGACTGCTTATCGTGTGGACCATCCCTTTGGGAGAAATAATGAGATAAGTTATTGTCGGATTAGGCAAAGAGTATATGACGAGATTTATAAATAATTTGTGTTTAACTTTTCCTCCGTTGTAGCTCACCTTTCGTTATCAGCGTTTTGCTGATGTTTCAATGGACGCGGTGAATTACGTGGTTTTTGTGAACGCCTAGCATTTCGGCTAGAACTATCATCATCAGTACRCCGACTATTATTACCACCTGATGAATTTAATTTGTCACTTCCATTACTTAAGCGTCCCCCAGTCTTTTTGGTATCAACACCCCTAGCACCATCACCATTATCATTGTATTCCTGTTCATAGCTATTAAACTCATTGCCGAATTCACCTTCATATAACGCATCTTCACACACTTGCTCACTCCACTTTTTGGTTGACAGCTGTGTATCGTACATATCATTTGTATCATTTTTCCTACCATCATTTTCAATAACTGTAGTTGTAGGCGGCTCCACCGGTGAATCTGTACTAGTATTAAGTGGCGGCTGAACCTGAGGTGGTAGTGGTGATAACGGTTGCGGCTGCACTAATTGCACTTGCTGCGCTGGTACATATACTGGCAGTGATTGTGGTTGCATAGCAACATTGACGTTGTTATTGCCCTCATCTTCTACGTCTTGTACTAAATATTTTGTGTACATTTGTTCGAGTTGTGTACCYAAATTTGTAAAATTACTATAGTACAGATCGAGTGTCATTAGCAATAACGCTTTTACGGTGGCACTTAATGCCGGTTGCTCAATCAAATTACGTCTTATGTGGTAGAGCAGTTGTGTCAGTTCGTCTTTATGTTTAACGCGTATTATATCACCRTTTAGTGTGATTTGTGATAGTATTAATTTAGATAATTTCACATTAATAGGTTCCAGTGCGCTAACTTCGCGTATAAGCAAGCTAAGTAAGGACTTGCCCAATATCGTAATAGGCGATTGATCAGCTAAACGCACTCGATTATAATATTCACCCAATAGCGTAATAGAATTGTAAAGACGTTCCTTATCGTGGATGCGATATGTATCGGCATTTAAATAATTTGCCTCCAGCACCTTTAGCATGGCACTACGTATTTTGACATCTTTCATGGCTAGTTGGTCAAAGTTGTGCGAAGAAAAGAGCATGGCGAATTTCAATGCCATCTCACCGTCCGCCAAAGCCTTGTCATTAATATAATCCATGCATTCACTGTGAATTAGAAATTATACGTTACATATGTATGTATGTTAATTAATTTTAAAATAAAAACATTAAAGTTTAAACGTGTTAAATCAGTAGAAAAACAAGAAAAAACGTGAATTCAATTTACGATGTTTCGGTTATAAAAACATTAGATTAATTAGCAACAAAAATTTTCCAGAATAGTTAAAGCCAATAATTATTATCGTAACAAATTGTTTATAGATAATTTTGATTGTATTAGGGCAATGACCTGTAACGTTCATCTATAACAAAAATTAGTCATAATCAGTCAATAGAAAAAAGTACAATTTTTTTTTGGTGAAGACATAAAATTTAAAAAAAATATGGTCACTTATCGTACAAACGTACGCGTACGTTTGTTTGTACGTACATAAACAAACAATTAATTAAACACATTTGTATCTTGAATTTCAATTGACGCAGAAAACAAATGCACATCGATATGAGCTGCTAACGGTTAAAAGCTCGTTATATTTATGTGTATGTTCCAAATACATACAGACAAGCATTATGCAAGGTCAAGCGGAACATCTGGTTATTTTATGAAGTTCACTGACAGGTGGAATTAAATACATATGATTTTTTTAAATCCATTTTTTTAAAYATGTGGGTGATAGTCATTTCTTATGTTTTTCTCCATACTAATAAGAAGCTAACAAGCAAGCTTTAATTAGGTTCAAAACCTTTTATAACTTATAAGAAAGAACTTTATAGAATTATATGTATTTACGCGTCGTTTTCGCATTTTTATGCGTTCATGAGCGAAAGCTATAAMGTTGACACAAAATAATTTTTGGACGTATGTATTTAATCTAGGCAGTCTTGAAAGCATTCATTCATTGGACAAAATCGCATTAGTCACATACTCTACRAACGTACGTATGTATGTATTTATGTATAATACAATTATTGAGTGGTTTGAAAACAAAAACAAAGAAAACTAAGTTGACAATTGGTTCATGCTTATAGATGTACGGTTTGGTTATCGTGCCGTAAATATCAGTACCATGTGCAAAAATTTGTTTWTGTTAATATAGCTCCAAATAAGTGTTCATATACCTCGATATTTTATAAGAAAATTATTGCAATACYAAAAGCTACTCACCATAACATATTTTCATCGTGTACTAGCATACAGAAGTCTGAACGGATAGCTCCAATTTTATGATTCATTTTAATGCCGTCATCCTGCAGATCGAGACCTCTTATCATTTCTACAAGATGATCGTAAGAACAAGAGCCTGGTGGCAAGTTAAAGGCTGAGTTTAAATTTCCGGGTTGGAGAAAATTACAAACGTCGTTTAGGTTGCTTACTGCACCACCACTTTCRACGTAATTAGTTCTATCTTTGCCTCCAAGTTTGATATTGCCAGCAACGCCATTCCTGTTGTAATGGGCCGCCGCATTATTATTGGCCATTGTTATTTGCAATATATTCTAATTACTTTGTTACACAGTGGCTGCAAATTTGTTAATGCACAATTCTTTCTTGATGTTTTTGCCAAATGCAATATAAKGAAACTATCGAATAATGTCCTCCGTTTACACACTTCTTTCAGTTGCTCGTCATCAATTATGCACAATTCCTTATTATATTTCTTGTTTGTGCGCAAATAAAGCGGTCAACTCTCAATATAAATGGCCGAAAGCAATATAATGCGATTTGAAGTGACGTACGAAGCACCGAAACACATATACGGGAATACGGGAACGCATACAAGAAGCTAGGTAGCGAAGAAGTCAAGCAAGTAGGCAATAAAGATTAATGGTCGTGATGGCGCTATTCATACCAATATCGCCGTCCGTCTTTTCACTCCAAACTCGAAGTTTTGCAACAAGGGCACTTTTATGCCACAAATAATGTAAGTTATCTATATAATTGTATTTGCAATTTGTTAAAATAATAAAAAAAATATATATAATTAGCACTGCGTCTCGTGGAAATGCGTTTTTCACTCGCGCTTTTTGAAGAAACAAGAAATTGAAAGACAATTAAAAGAAATATGAAAAATGTCAAAACCGTCAAACTGAAATGTCAATCAGAGAACATAGCAATAGTACAGTGGCATTAAAATGGTGCTGTATTGCTGACAAAGCATTCCAATTCGACCATTTCATTAATGGAATTAATTTATTTTTAAATGGACAAGCTCAAAATTGTGTTTCTTAATTAAAAAATGCTCATTTGTTCTTTGTAAAATGTTATATTAAGTTTAATACATCTCTATCTGAAAAGCCAAAAGCATTCCGAACCTGTTATAATACGTTTCTTTTGTGTTTTCTCGTTTCCCTTTCCGCCTAATTTTGACAGTTGAAGTTGGTGCGCGCTAATAGAAACGTTTAGAAGCGTCTTTTAGTGCTTTGCATGATCGGTAGAAAATTTAATAACATTAACAAATACGGCGTTTACTATTTTGTGATTATTTGGGTGAATTAAAGTTTTTCAGTGTTATCATTATTACAAATATTTGCATTTTGTGTTTGTGCTCTTGTTTTGTTTTTAGCGTACTTACAAGTGGAGCTACCGCAGGCAGAAAGAGGTATGTAAAGTTATTTTTCTGATAAATTGTGTTTAGTCTAGTTTATTCTGAAAGTAGACGGCAGCAATTTCTATGTGATGWATGAAGTAACTTCCTATTGGATCACAGCACTTAAATGGATGATGAGGTTTTAATTTTCAAACAAAGTATGTATGTATATGAATACAATGCGAAGCTACGTACATTTTATATATTATATGTATGTTATTTTATCCACGAAGCCTCACTGATCTTTTGGCTCATTACAAATATTGCTTGTTAGAGCCACTGTTTGTGTAGCAAACCATTTTTCTTTTTTATTTTTAACAGATGAATATTTACGTTTACTTAATACCACGCTGTTGTTCAGGTGTGCTATAGAAATGTTTCTTATTTGCGTGTTAGCTTTTGTTATCAGTTGTAATCGTCGTGGATGGTTGGAATGCAGAAAAAACAAATAAAWCAGCATCTCCAAATGCTTATCGCAGAATACTTTCTCTATAAAAACGAAACCAAAAATCCTAAATAAAGAAGTTTGTTATTCACTCAGGCCACATTACATTTAGTTATCTCGAGTAGATGTGTTACCTCTACAATAAAAATCTCATTTAATTTTATTTGATAAAAAAGATTAACATAACAAGCATTTAAAAATACATAGTACATATTTACGTGCGATAAGGCACTGAAATATACGAGTACGACTACATAAATACATACGCGTTTGAAATTTGGTTATGCAGGCGTATGAGGGCGTATAAAATCTGTAAATCGCCTACGAATAATTTAATTTTAGTTAGTTGCAATAACGTATATATGTATGAGTTTACCGATTTTTTTCCTTCTGTTTTCAAGTACTTAACTACGACGTTATACACTTATTCATACTTAAGTTCTAAAGTTAAAATTTATTATGTCTGCATGTATGTATGTATATAGTATTGTAATAATCTTGTATTATGTAAGAGTGTGTGTGGACTAAAATAACATTYTAATTTTGCTGATGTATTATGTAACAAATCTATGTAAATATATTTTGTATGATTTAAATTTTGTTTTCGATTCATCGTACAACGATAAAGTGCTCGATTCTCAGTTAATGTGGCAACGGACTTAAGACTTAAGGCTATTGCATAAAGCGAAATGCAGTCAGCATGACAAAGCATTCGTTCAGTTGCAATTAACTTTAATGTTTCCCAATGGATGCAGCAAGTTGTGTATATGATTTTATCCGTCTTTTCTCAAGGGAACTGGTCAGCARGAACATTTGCTCTTGCTTTCTGTTGACGATTGTTCTGCTGAACTATTTAGATTAAATTTCTCACTGTCAGCTAGGTCAGCGGCGCTGATYAATTTATCGTTGAGTAAAATCTGCAAAAGTTTTAAAAATAATTATAAAAAATAAGCAAAGTGAATAACAACGCTCACCTTGTTCACTAAAGCCCTGGCGGCTTCATCAATATTGATATTTTCCTTGGCTGATGTCTCATACCAGCCGGCAAAACCATTCTCACGTACATACTCATCCATTTTCTCGGGTGTGGTCACAATACCTTGTTTTTCCTGATCGCACTGTATAGATAATTGCAAATAATTATTGAAATATATGTACATATATAATATAAAAATATAAACTGCCGATATTTCCTTCTTCTTTTAAGGATTCTTACAACTGTTATAATTTATATGAAAAGATATCTTCAAGAAACTTATCATAGATTACACTACTYAACAAATCTGAATGAAAACATTTTCGAGTGAGCCTGTGGGGCCGAGGTTTCGAATTTGAGTTCAAAACTTTTCCATCGCTTACAGTTATTTTCGTTATTTTAGTTGAGACTTGAACTTACATCCCTTGACTACAACACAAAAAATTCTGTGTTTGGAAATTTTTGCTACAGTTTTTTAGCTAAAAAACAGCATTTAAGCAAAATTATTGTAGACTAGACTGACTTATTCAAGACAGTGCTACCATTTCCAAACATATTGTTCAGATCGGACCGCTATAGTATACAGCTGCCATACAAACTGACACAGGTTTTTTGGTTACAATTATCAAACACTTAGACGAAGGATTAAAAAAAAAATGTTGCGAAATTTTTACTGAAATTTTAATTTTTTTTGTTTTGTAATAATGTCTACTAAAACTATAATAAAATATTTAATTTTTTTCATGCAAAAAAAAATTGAGAAAAGTCTGTTTTTACCCGAGGAAACCCATGTAACTCCGTAAGAAATAGATCTTTTTATATTCTTTTATGTATGCATCCGTGGAACGTATGCTAACTTCGTCATAGGGTTTCTTGTTTTAACTCACCTTATTAGCTAACAGTATACAGGGTATCGGGCTGCCATCGGGTAATTGAACTTTCGAATCCAAATCCTCTTTCCACTTACTCACACAATCGAATGTGCCGCTGCGTGTTACATCGAATACTATGAAAGCACCGACGGCTTCTTTATAATAAACACGTGTCATATTGCCAAAACGTTCCTGACCGGCAATATCCCACAATTGTAAACGGACGGTTGTATTTGGATCCCAATGTAGTACTTTCAATGCGAAATCTACACCGATTGTGGCACGATAATTCTGACTGAAAAACTGATGCACATAGCGTTTGATAAACGACGTTTTGCCCGTGCCCAATTCACCGATGACTAGAATTTTATATAGATGCTCACGCTTCTCTGTATTCGCGGAGGTCATAATTGTCTGGAAAGCAGRAATCAACAAAAAATTTTGTTATAGAAACAGATACATCTTCAATGTATTATGAATTTCACAATTAAAGTATATAATTATAGTATACAATTTAATAAAAATATTTGTATACAACTACAACTATTATTTATATATACGATTAATCTTCTGTTTTTAAGCCTAATGTGAGACAACTACTCGTAATGTTTAAGACTCACTCTGGTATCACTAAAGCGCGTGTATATTGATCTAAAATTAGAATTAATTGAAAATTTAAAACGTCGTTGACTAATTAGTCACTGCGCAATTGCGCGGAAACAATGAAAGGAAATTTCTGTTCCGACTGGCATGTGCTTATAGTAAGTGTTTTGTTTGTATGTTCAGGTGTATGTCAGGCATGGTTTAATCTCATTTTCATTAACACACTGCACACTTCTGAATACATACACCTGTATTTAATACTTTATGTATTTGCATTTCAGCCTTTAATCTTTAGTTTCAAATCGTATTAATGTCAATAGGGCTTCGTTGAAGAAATTATCTTTGACCTGCCATTTCTTATAAATCGATTTACATATTTGACTGATTTATACCAATGCCGTAGTGTAATGTTTCATTAGTTCATATTGTTATTAAGTAGGGCAAGCGAACTCGCGTTTTTGGTATCAATAATTTTCCGAAAAAATGCAGCAAACAATTTTTTAATTTTTCATGAAGAAAATATTTGAAACAAACAAAATGTGACACTCTTGATTAGTTTAAATTATTAAATAATGATCGAATATCGTAAGCATTTTTTTTTATTAAAAGGAGATAGAAGTGATAGCTAATTATTATTACACCGAAATTGCCTGAAAATTAGTTGGTATGGTTTATACACTCTTCTTCTTTATGAGCGCCATTAACTAGGGAGTGGCCAGAAACGATTTCTTTGCTTAGACCAATTATCCTCTGGGTAGCCAAAAAAATCCATTTGAAGCCGAGGTAAAGTGAAAAGGGGACCTTGGTTCAACTGCAAAAATGCTGCTCAATATGTAATTTAGGTAAGATTCTTTGGCTGCTCTCTTTTTGCGGGCTCTGAATGTTTAGGACAGTTCTTTGTAATTGTTTCGATTGGTACAAGTTATCTAAAGAGGGTCGAGAACGCATAGACGACGAACCACGTCCCGTCCAGGACGGCCATCATCATCGACTGATGATCAACACGTCAATAAAATAAAGGAATTGTTGCTTGAGAATCGGCGATTAACAGTCATTGATCTTACTAGCTAGATGCTAGAATTATGGACCGAGAACTCTTGGATCTTGCAGCATGATAATGTTCCGTCACATACTGCATTAATTCTTCGTAAGTTTTTCGCCAAATTTTCAACCAATATTATGCCGCAACCACCGTATTTGACTGATTAAGCTTAGTGTGACTTTTGGCTATTCAGCAAACTCAAACCACCGGTTCGGGGAAACCGTTTTTAGCCGGAAATTAACTTTTACAACGGTTTCTGGGAGTGGAAAAAATCTTGGCGCAAGTGTTTTGGACCCAAGTGCATKGGGTCCAAAGGGGATTACTTTGAGCGGGAGGATGTAGATGTTGAAGAATAAATTAAAATTTGTAAAATTATGAACAAATTCTTACTACTTTTTGTTGATATCTATACCTTGTTTTCATTTTAATATTACTATATATAACTAATATTTAACACTTAGAATTTTAAAGGAGAAAAAAAATTCATATTTCATATATTTCAGAACTTGCTTATAATATATAGATATTTTAACCCCTATTTTGTATGTAGTTATCGGAGAAAATTAACTATATAAATATA